TGAAACAACATCCCCCCACCACCCACAACAGCAGGGGGGCGATGGGATTCGAGGACAAAAGTGCCTCATAAATTCCATTTACTCCCTCTCATAAGCATAGGCCATGCAAAACACATATGATAAATCTGAGATTTTGTTTTTTTTTAAAGTGTCCAAAATTGCAGGTACCGACCCCCGATAGTTCAGTGGGTGGTGTTCACGTCTCAGCTCACAGATACAGACCCTGCGGCTGCACACGGGGGAGGATGAGGGAGTGGGAGGCACACTCCTCCGACTCGCCCACCTTCCAGCCAATCAATCGTCTTTTAACATGTCACCGATAAGCTGGAGGGTCAGCGCTGATTGGAGGAAAGGTGCGTCCCTCACAGACCTGTCTGCAAGCGCAATAGGAGGCCACAGGAGGCCACAGGGGGTGCCATGAGCCGAGAGCCTAGGCTGAATATTGTCACCCTGCCTTTAAGGTGTGACTGCCCGGAGAATCACAGTCCCGTTCGGCTAGCGACGTGATGCACTTGAATGCACACCCCTGCTACTCGAGAGACCCCAGTAGCTGTGTATACTTGTGTTGGCCTGCCCGAGTCCGTGACCCTCACTCCCACTCCCTGTTAAGCCTCCTCTGGTGCTCCTTCTACCCATGCGTCCAATCTGAAATCCCCATGGCAGTTGCAATCATGAAGTACCAAGATCAGGGATCACATGCCCGGCGGCCCAGTCCTGCTTGAGAGGTTTTTCTGGGTTTCCTTCAAAGCAGAAGTGGTTGAATGGGTCCAGTCAAGCCCATCACGAGCTGATTGAGCTCACTCAGAGGCGGGTCGCGGTGAGAGCGGCAGACACACGGCTCCTTCAGCGGTGGAGGGTGTGCACAGCGCCGCCCGGGTGACAGGCGGGAGGGCAGTCTTACCTGCACCAGCTTCAGCCCCACCAGCCGGAAGCCCTTCTGCTCAAACCGGCGGGTGATCTCGCCCACCAGGCGGCGCTGCACCCCGTCGGGCTTCACGGCGACGAAGGTGCGCTCGTTAATGCCCGCCCAGGCTGCAGAGATAACACAGGTCAGCCGCCGCACACGCAGGCAGCTCGCGGGCCTCCGAGACCCTGCCGGCACCCAGCGCTGGACTGGGATTCAGACTAGCCCTGTTCTGGAGGCGAGAAACTGTGCAGAACTCATCTCCGGGCTTTGGGTTGGCGTGCTGTCTGCTGTCCTCGGGATAGAGGATCCAACCCGCGGGATTCACCTCTCGGGATTCTCAGATCCACTCCTACAAACCTTTACTTATTGGCACAACAGTTCAGACGTACTGTATATGTAGAGCAGCAAATGTTTGGGGATTTTGTTTCATGTGTGCTTAAAGGTGATAACAGAATGCAGGTGCCATAAAGGCTTATCGGAGAACACTACAGCTGAGCAGAACATCAGCAAGTAGCACAAGCAGAAACTTCATTTCTGCTTGAAGGGCCAGAGGTCACAAGTGTGAAGCATTGGAAAGCAACAAAAAAAAAACGCACATCTGTTGCCAAACGTTTGCATCAGCTAGCATTAAAATGCACAAAGGCGTGTACACCGCATTTGTCTAGGCCTCTATTGTCCTGAATGTACGCGCTATTTTCCACTGTTCATTATAGACGCGGTTATGTTACATGAAATGCTTGAAATGCACATGACTGGTTTCAAAGGCTGCCTACCCAGATAACCAGTTTTACTTCATTTGCAATGCCGATATGACACTTGGGTTTACAACGCTAAAAAAGCCTACACAAAGGATAGCTATATGCATGCTCCAGGAGTGCACATTTAAGCGCAATCTGCTCAGACGAGTTTTCGATAGGATTATTAGATAGCTCAGACCGTTATAAAACGTCAGAAAACTGGAAAATACTGTACCTGCGTGCAGCCACTATCCCTATAGCGTATTTCGAAAAGGATGAACTTGGGACTGTTCGAATCCGGAAGGATAACGTCATTCCCACCACCAAATTTAAAAACTAACACTCAACGAAAATCACTTATCGTGACACTAAAATTGTGCTTACCGGTCTGAAAGATGTTTGCAAATATGGTTAAAACGAGACAAATCATTATTGCATCAGAAACCACAGGCGTCCTCCCAAAAAAACTCACACACCGGCCACACCAGACAGTGAGAGCGCCGCGGGTGCCCGAGCGCGTTCCCTAAACCTCCGGGCTCAATCACGCGAGCACGAGGAAATGCTGGTGAAGAGGCGAGCACGTCGTCGACGTCAGAGTTTCTGTTAAGGGCGTAGACTGCATATAGCTACACTGTAAAATATTTAAAGAAATATGTTTACATTATGCCCTTTGATTTCCCCAAAGTAAGACTTTCTAGAGCTTGAAAATGCCCTGGACTTTGTAACTCATGCTAATTAATAAATATCATCCTCCTGTTTCCTTAAGCTATGGTTTGCAATATAATAATAATTACTACCACTAAGCATGTTAAATATTTCTAAATACCAGAATTGTCACTATTTACAACCATTAACAAAATTCATCGAGGAATAACGATTTGTAAAGTGCATTTTTTTCCCACTTAGGGAACATTCAAATTGTATTAGGCAAAAAGATTTGTGCATATTTACTTACTGTACGTGTTCTCGATAAGGAAAGCCAGTATGAAATGATCAAAATGAGAACTAAGATTGAACTGAAATGATTCCCCATTTGAAATGTTTATTTAGAGGAAGTGAAGCTGTCACGGTGTGACAGCAAACTGTCAGTAATTGAAGGTTTAACACCCACTATCTAAGGTAAAAAACAAAACCGCTTTAGACGAATGTTTTATTTCCGCTGTTTTTTATAATCAACTGCCGCTCTGCTTAAGTCTGTCACAAAACACATCACACAGACACAATCCACACAAATTTAATCACAAAACAATTGCAGTGAGGTTTACAGTGGCAGTAATGATATTACAAACCACATGTACATATGCCCTCTTCTTCGAATGAGATAGTTTATAGAACATTTACTCCTACTGGAAACTGAGAGCTCCACTGAGTGAACCAAGGTACAGTGCTGTAGTGCTCAGATGTTAAGAAACCTAGGAAAACAGTCATTGTCAACAAGTAACAGCTAAGACGCTGTACAGGTACTGCACATAGTAAGAGAGGAAAGAGGGCAGAGAGACTCATCTCAACTTTTTGCAGACTTTGCACCAATTGGCATGGCAGAGCCGTGTGTGGGAACAGAGAAACAACACAAGTGAAAAAAAGAGGAGGACTTTGAATGCACATCCATACTTGAGAGGTTACAGCAGGGAGCTGCATCAGGGTATGATCTGCAAAGGGACCAGCAGGGGTTAAACCCAGTGCAACGTGCTCTTTAATCAATGCATTGCAGTGCAGTGTGGATGGTTAACTGAACACAACGGCCTCTGCTCAGCGGGGTTCCCCCGTGTGCATTTAACCGTGAATGCCGTTCAGTCACTTCTCCACCCCTGCAGAGGTCAGAGGTCAGAGGTCAGAGGCCAGAGGCCAGAGGCCAGAGGCGTCACACGGGGGTTCCCTCCTGGCGCTGCTGACTCTCCAGCTGTCTGAAGTAATCCTTGGTGAAGTGGACTTTCCTGTGCAGGTCGATGAGGGGCTCCTCGCCCGTCGGCCGGCCCTCCTTCTCTCTCTGCGCCATGATCATGGCCCGCAGGAGAGGTGGGTACAGCACGTATCGCTCGCGGGGGTCCGGCGCGGGCGTGAAGCGCTTAAACTCCTCTTCCTCGTGTTTGGGCACCAGACGCCAGTCGTGGTACATCACTTTGTCTATCTCTTTCACTTTCTCCTCCGTCTTCCCTACAGAGGAAAATAACAGAATGCACACTCTGAATGTAAAACGAAGCAGAATGCAGTATCACTGCCCACCACCTCCACAGGGCACAAGTGAGGCTTCCTGATGTTGTGATATTCCTCTCACATCGCGTTCAGCTCTGGAAGGTAAAAGTTCTGTTTTACAGCTCTTGCTCTTAAGAATCCATTTCTAAGCATGCCAGCTATGCCTCTTAAACTTGAAATTTGTTAGATCAATTTTGTGACGAAAACCTGGAAATACTGTAGCCATCAAGAATCAGAATTGATCTCTCACTCCATCCTGACTAAAACAAAATTACTTATTCAAGTGCAAAAACCAGGTCACCACTGACCTCAGGATTAACTCTACCAAACAGATAAAATGAGGTGCCTGATTTCGAAGAGTCTTGTCGGCAACTTGTCAAATATCCCCTTTGCACACGCATTGCGCTTAATAAGCTACCTGTACCTCTATTCTAACCAAGGCATGGACAGGTTATGAGTAGAAATCACTGCAGGTAAAAAAAGAACCACAGAAGAAGTAAACTTACCTTTAAAGGTCAGAATGCCCCATGCCTTTCCATGGTCCATATTCTGTGTTGTTTGAAAAGGAGAGAAATATTATACATCCTATTAAATAATATGTTCTGTTTATTATATTAGTTAATAATAGCTCTTTGATGGGACAGAAGTTACAGGACCAGTGAGACCCCCGATGACTCCCAAGTTACGAACGTTCTTCAGGATGCACAGCCTTTGCTGACTGAAGTTAACTGAAGCGAAACCATCTTTCAGGGGTTGGCGGCTACTGAGATGCCCTCGCCAAATGCAATTATTTGTTTGCAATACGAATTTACAGAGTTCTTTTTATGCTCAATAATGGGGCCTGGTTGCATTCTGTAATTTTCTATCTTATCTATCTATTTCTTTCAATCTTAGGTTCTCCCGTGCAGTTCTGGTACAATATTTGTTTTTAAAAAGCCTATCATTTGTCCTGGTTCATACATTTCCCCCAAGTCACAAGCTGCTGATGACTTAATAGATGTTAAAAACCGGGGCGTCATAGCTCATGAGGACTAGACCTGGGAGCATTACATTAAACACCTGAACAGTAAAATTAAACATCAGTGCTCTATCTCTGCCTACACTGTACTCCGTGGTATTTACGCAAAACAAAATCTACTTGTGTCAGCGGTGGGATCGCTGTCTGTCACCCATTACCGACCTCAGCGGTGTAGTCCACCTTGACCTTGGTGACCTGCCAGTAGCAGGGCTCCTGGTGCTCACTCAGCCAGGACTTCCGGGTGAACAGACGCCCTATGCCGAACAACCTCAGGCCGGACAGCAGGGAGAAGAGGCGGGTCTCGCGCCGCACGTCCTCCCAGGCCAGCACTGGCAGCTGCTTGCCCGTGTAAGGCCGCGTCATGGTCTTGTAATCGAGGGCGTAGCGCTGGGAGTCCCGCGGCCTCTCCTTCAGCGCTCGGTACTCCCGGATCTTCCGGGCCATCTCGGCGATTGGCCTCAAGCGTTTCTTCCGTGTCATCCTGAAACAAAACCCACCAGCATTACGGTGGAGCGGCTCGGGGTGTTGTGGAACAGTGGAAAACATGACCTAAAAATGCATGATCCCATTCGGATCGTTTAAACAGACCTTCTGTAGCACTCAGAAGGAGTAATGCATTCGAACAGCACTCGCTTCTGTCTGAGAAAACCATTCTGCACTCAAAGCCAAGCCCAGTTCATTATGTCTGGATGACTTCCTGATGGATTTAACCAATTCATATATCTCCTGTACCTGTCCCATGGATTATAGCTACTTGTATGTGTGGAAGCTCATCAACTGATTCCAGAGTGGCACAATTTCAGAAAAAATGCACTCTGGACTCCTACTGAGCGTTGTTGTTGCTAGCTGTGCACCGGTGACAGCACCGACCAAGCCATCAACAGACTCGCCACGACACTGAAGTGCTCTTCTAATGAAAAGAGTGGGACAAGCCAAACACGACGTCTGGACCTGGCATTAAGGGGTATTTAAACAGAAAACACGTGTCATCTAATTCCAAGTCAGAGGGATTTTCAGTGCTCGTTAGACCTGCATTGGAAACGAGAGATCACAAACCGGCTGTTCAAAGTCACTTCTAAATCACGTTTAACTCGTTTTTTTTTTCGTTTGACCTTTTTACATTTTGTCACACACTATTCAGTTATATGAATACATTTGTGCAAAAAACACGTGGGAAAAGCAGTGTGGTGTAAGAATGTTCTCGGGTTATTTTTCAAAACGTCATCTACCCCTCATCTCCCTTCTCACAAGCACTTGATAAACAATGCTTTTGTTAAGGTATACGAAATTCTATAACCCGTATTCATTATAATTTTTGTTAACGTTTAAGAATAACAGCATATAATTTTCAGCAATGAAAGACACCTCTAACCTTTTTTTCTGCAGTTAACCTCAGCCACAACGTAACTTCCTGTGACCGTTCCAGCACCCAATTTCTTCCGTCAACGTTTACATTTCGTAACATGGTTCCGACTGGAGCGCTATCATGTGAATTGGTGGAGACATCGGAGGGCTTTGTCTCGTATTCAAAACAGCAGTTCAGCACACTATTTAGAAAAAAAAAGTGTTTAATGTCATTTGTGGTGAAGTCGCAGTTTTCAGCACTGAGACCACAGAGATCAAGCCCTAGTATCCTGGTATCGTCTAGGTTAATGAGTATTTTAAACGCTGTAAATGGTTTAAATGTTTAAGTGGTGTACCGTATGTGTGCACTTACCAACACGAATCGTGGTTTACTTCAGTTATATTTGAAGAGACATCGATACTGGCATACGATTATATATACACTTGTGTATAACAACTTTAAAGTGCATTTGAACAGCCTCCCGTGATTCGGAACAAATGCGTATTTTTAAACCTAATTTAAAATAGATATTTGCACATACACATTTGCTAAAAGAACAATAAAAATATCGAGGACTGTATGAAATGCTAGTCTAGCAGCTTTTAATAGCCATTTTAAACGTGAAAGCAGCATAGTTCAGAAAAAAATGCCGAGGTTAAAAACATGTCCCTACTTTTGAAGAGGGCGAAGACCTGGGAAATATCGGAGTCTGAAGCTGAAAGCGACTCGGAGACCCAGGGCCGGCGTACGTGCGCCTGTAGCTCCGAGAGCCAAGAAAAAGTGCCACCAAGCGTTGACCAGACGAGCACTGAACAGACGGAGGACTGTAATAAAAATGTTGAGATTCTGCCAGTTTGCACGGAGCAGGCAGGGGCGGACAAACGCCCGCTGGCACCCCCAGCCGCCGATGGCCCTGGTACCCCGAGCCCCGGCAAGAGAAGACGGCGAACTCGGGAGGAGGTAGAAGCCGACAGAGTCCGTGCTGGGTGCGTGAGAGAAGCCAGGGAGCAGCTGAAGAAAGAAAGACTTCAGATAAAAGAACAGAGAAAACTCGAGCAGCAGAGGAGAAAAGAGGCGGCCGAGCGACTCAAATGCTACCGTCCCGAACAGTGTTTGAAATACTTGACCGTCTGCATAGATCCAGGTACGCGGGGTTATCAATGAGAACTACCTTTTAAAAACCTACGGGGTGGCGGGCGAGAAACGGTACATTGGGGACCAACAGCTTAGTGTAAGCCATATTACTGTAGGTAGGTGCAAAACGTACTCCCAGTTTTTACTTTCTCGGCAAGTAGGTAGCACCTTAATTTCTCCGCACGGCCGTCAGCTTTACATTAGAAACGCCAGCTAGATAGTGACACAGCGCCGTTTTAATAACGGCTGTTCATCGGGGATAGGGTCGTCAGCATGTGCCTGACTGGGTCTGCGTTGTTTTCCAGCTAACTCTTGGACCGTACAGTGAGCGACTCTTGAGCAGGCCTCCTGTCGGTGATTTCATTTCCATCAGGGAAATGAAAGTCTGAATGGAATCATTGACTTGTCACAAGATGGAGGGGGAGCTCCATCTGGGGCCTCCCTGTGCACGCTCTCATGTTGAAGTTTGGCCTTGCAGCTGTCCTCCAGGATGAGGGCTCTGACCTACTGCTGGGGACCGTGGAGGCTCTGGGATGGAGGATTATCATCGAGGAGCAGCCTGTTAGCCACAGCATCAGCTGGAAGAGAGACCTGCCCCAGGTAACGCACTCGAGTCGGGCTGGGCACTCAAACTAGTTTCTGTTCAAAAACTTTCATGAAAATTAGCAGACCGGAGTGGATTTCCAGGTCTTTTGTGTTCTGTACCACAGCCCTCATAGGTTTCATCATAGGGAAGGCCATAATGGTGTGGCTAATCCTTTGAATCTTTCTGGCTGGTCTGCTCTGCAGGTTGAGGAGGATGAGGCGAGCCCAGTGACAGAGGAGCAGGTTCTGATGGTGGTGACACTGAGTGATTTCCTCGACATGGTGGTGGCCATTAAAAAGGTGGGCGTCACAGGGTTCTGTTCGTCAACATTGCCAAGACACCATGAGGTCTCTCCTACAGTATGCCATGGTGCTGAGCTGGCACTGTTGTCCTTCAGTGTGGTCTTCATTTCACATTCAGGTTAAATCATTGGTGGACATTCTCAATAAAACCTGTAAGGAGAGAAATGGATCTGCCAGTAGGCTTGTCAGATGAATTATCCCTGCATTTGTGTGCACTTTAAGCACACAAGAGGAAATCCATGAATCCCAAAACAGTACAGTAAAGCATTTAGCCTGACAGACATTGAACGAATGCAATGTCTTAGGTGCATTAAACGAACAATATGGCTTTTCTACATTGCACCTCTTTTTAATAGATTTCTTGAATTCTCCCTTGGGAAAAATAAATGCCAATCTCCTGCAGAAGGTGGATGTCACTCAGTAAGTGTTTAGAAACAATAAGTAAGATCTAAAATGTGTTGGGAGTAGATGAAAGCATTTGTCAGTCGAGTCCTCCTCATTGACTGTGACAGTTATCATAGTTACGATGTAGTTTTTTATTTCAAAGGTAAAGGCAAAGAAATCCCTAATTTGGCAACTTCCTCAGCTTATTTTTTTTTCAATCTATCTACCTTACCCAAGTTGATGTTTTTTCAGAGATATTTGCTACGTTAGTGGAGTTATGTTTTTAGGAGCTTATGCTACACAGTAGCACAGATAGTTTTATCCTGGTCAGTGTTGACAAAAAGAATTCTGAAAACCTGCACTTAGAAATTACATTTTCTCTTCAAAGCACCATTCTTTTTTAAATTTCAAGCTTTTTTTCCCACAGACTTCTGAATAATCAGGACATATTTGTTTGGAATCCTATAGTGACTCATGGAAACAGAGGGTTTTAACATAAACATTTCTCCTGGTGCAGGGACAGGACAGGACTGGCGAAGAAGCCCCACCAGGCTCCTTGTATACCCAGCTGTGTGAGTTTCTTGAGGGAGACCCAGAGAAGGTGGTCACGCTGGCAGTGATTGGCCCCAACCCTAACAGCTGGTAAATGTTACGTGCACATTTTGTGAGCTCAGATACATGTTTCCCTTCAAATATTTGCATAACTGCAAAAGAACTGAAACTGTGATTCTCTCACTGTATTTGTACAGTACAAGGGGTGTTAGGCTCTGAGGTACAAGATTATAAGTTTCCTTCAGCTTTGTTGGATTTCAGCTCTTTACCCAAAGGGTTGTTGGAGTATGGAACAACACACCTACACCATCTACCTCATTGTAATTTTATTTATTGCAGCCATTGTTTACATTCGAACTGTTCACTTGTTTACTTGTACAGTGTCTACACTTTGTTTGTATATTGTCTTGATGCACTGTCTGCACTTTGTGTTTTACACTTTTTTTAACAATCGAGAGACTTTCTGTAAGTAATAATTCCATTGTACTGGTTACATATGGCAATAAAGTTCGAGTTCCATGCAGGAACCCAGGACCCCCCAAAAAGCTACCCAGCCAAGTTGTTGAAGCCTATACTGTGGCTTCTTTCAAGAATCAACTGGATGAGATGTTTGGATCAACTACCTACTATTGTCCAAATGGGCTACATTGGTCAACAAGCTTCCTTTTGCTTGTTAATTTACAGAATGGCATATCAGTATCCTTGGGTCATAGATGGAAAATATCCTGTTGTTTCCTAGCAGCGTGATTCATTTTAGGCTTGCCATCTGCAAGCTTTTGTATATAAAAGTATGCTGCTGAAACAGGAAAACAGGAAAACTCTCCATCTGTCAGTGCAAATTTCCCCTAAAATTCAGATGAAAGTGATGATACAGTCCTTGGTGACATCCTAGAAAATCTTATCAAGCCTGAAATGACTAAAATCTTTGTGCAATAGAATATTTCTCATCTCTGCAATTGCTTGGAGACCAGGAGCACCCAGTGTCGGAATGGCACGACTGCCAAGATTGTGAGTTCTTGGCTTCCTTCTTTTGTCCAGGACACTCCGGGGAAGAGAGAGAAGGGACAGGAGCATGGGATCAGACCTGGCACTGAAAGAGCTTGATATAGAAGAGGTAAGTAAATCTCAGCTGGATTTCAGATCGGTACAAAACCAAAGGTGCTTGCCTGTTACGTGTGTAATGTCAAAAGACGTTTTCAGCTGCTCGTTTTGTGACGATGCTCAGTTCTTGGTTATGTGGATTTTACTTCCTCTCCCAGTGGTTCTAGGGGTTTTCTCTTGGTGCCACCCAGAGCAATTATTTCACTATTTCTTATGTTATTAGTTCATAACAACATGAGAATGGCTTAAAACAGTGGGGGGTCTTTTGTCTCATCTAGCACATTTTATAGTTCACAATTAACTGACCTACAGATCTTATCCAGCCCTTTCTTGAAATAAATCATGGTAACATGGTTTCATAACATGGCTGGGCAGCTTGTTCCAGACTCCCACAACCCTTTTGGAAAAGACGTGCCTCCTGTTCTTGTTTCCCTCCTTTTCTTTGTGCTACCTAAGTCAGTCAGTTTCACTAAATTGTGCCTGGCATGCGATGAGCAGTTGTCCTTTCAGGATGTGCCTGCTTTGAACCTAACCAGGAATAAGTGGCATTCAGATCAGGGATGGACATTGGACCAGGACGTCTTGAAAGTCCTGTGAAGGCTGATGGATCTTCCATTTTCCCGTAGGCACTGGTGTTCCTGCAGCTTCACAGGAACATCTCTGTGATGTTCCTGCCCAGTTGGGATGAGCTCTGTGACCACATGTGCGCTGTGACTAGGGCCCTGGCTAAACGCCCCTTCAAGTAGGTTCTGTGATCCCTGGAATCATGGTTTCCTGGAATCCTTTCTCCATGTTTTTTTATTAGCTGTGGGTAAGCGTGTGGAGCAGTGCTTAGGACTCTGGATTTGGAACTGAGAGGTTGTGGGTTCCAATCCCGGGTGAGATGCGCAGTTGTACATTTGAGCAACGTACTTCATCTGAATTCTTCCAGTAAAATACCCAGCTGTGGAAATGGGTGCAAATGTAAGTTGTTTTAGATAAAAGTGTCAGCCAAATATATAGCTCTGTGCCTTTTATAGTAGTATTTAAATCTTGTTGTAGATAAATTATTGGCAAAATAAATACATCCATTGCATCAAAATGTATGCTTTGGCTGAAGATTGCTTGCATGGTTGCAGAAATCAAGGAATTATCCCAACTAACAGATTTGAAGTATAGGTGGCAACGATGGTTTGTGCCAGACATGGTATGAATAGTCAAATAGAATAACATACAAAACATTTTGTCCTAAGAGGTGGTCTTTAAGCCTTTAGGCTTGTCAGGTTGTGAGCTAATTCAGGAAAGCCCAACTCAAAAGCTGCTATTCAGTAGGTGTTTTTCGGTATCTAAATCTTCATTAGAGCAAGGTAAGGCCCAATTAAGCAATTAATGTGTGCAGTTGGGTAATTAAGTGATCAGGTGAAGGAAAAAACCTCCTGGCCTTCCAGGACTTGAATTGTGTGCCCCTGAGCTACCTGAGCCCTGAATTAGTTAGGAGGCAACACGCAACCTGCGTACAGCACGTTCACCCAGCAGTCAGGACCCGCCGGCCCAGCCCTGAGGAAGCCATGCCCTGTGCTTGTGTGTGTGCAGGCAGCTGACTGAGGGAGTGGAGCTGCCCTTCTGCCCAGACGGCGCGTGGGCAGGGGGGGTCCGCGTGGGGCAGGACGGCGCAGGGCTGCGCCAGGTGTGGACCAGGCAGATCCAGCAGCTGAACCGGGTGAGCCCGGCCGTCGCGGCGGCCGTGTCTGCCGCCCACCCCTCGCCCCAGCAGCTGCTGAAGGTAACCGCGGCGACGCGCGGCGCCCGGCGGGGGGGAGGCGTGTTTTAAAGGGGAACTGCCGGCGCAGTTTTTCTCTTTCAGGGTTGGGAAGAATCGGCGCTGGTGAGCGCATTTCAAACCAGCGGAAGTAAAATGTGCACAGTAACTTGTAAAACCTCCAATTTACCCCCACAAAATTGATGACATTTCCAGGTGTGTGCACATTTTCTGCAATTAAGAATGAGGCAACTAAACTTCCTGTGACATGACGCGGCACTATTACATTGTAAACAAGCAGGCTTGCGAATCCATCTCTTTGAATCCAATAGAAATACTGCTCTTGACTTTGAGAAAAATTTTTGCTGACATATACCACTTGTTAACTCCGCCTGCAGATCCCGTTGGAACACATCTGTGGCAAAATGTGTGCGGCACAACCTGTACTTGTTTGCTCATACATCACATTACGTGAGCCTTTACGGGGGCTGGCGAGCAGGAAGGGCCAGACCAGGGGTTTGCCACAACACGGTGGTTCGTGGGGATACAAGTTCCCGATTTTTGCTTCATTTGGAATTGATACAATTTTCTGATGCCGTCAATGAATTTATTTTGTTACCAAGATTTAATAAGAGGTCTGAGAAATTGGGACTGCAGTTCCGCCTTTACCCATGTTAATATTGCAAGGGGGCATAGTGGTTAGCATTGCACTGGGTTGCCCTGGGTTCAATTCCAGACCTGAGGCGCTATTTGTGTAGAGTTTGAATGTTTTCTCCGTTGCATGGGTTTCCTTTGGGTGCTCTGGTTTCCTCCCACATTTCCAAGACATACTGGTAGGTTAATTGGTTTCTGGGAAAATTGGCCCTTGTGTCAGTGTGTGTGCACATTTGTGTCCATATGAGCCCTGTGATGGACTGGCGTCCCATCTGGGGTGTATCCTGGCTCGCTCGCCGGGACAGGCTCCAGTGTCTCTTGTATTGGATAAGGAGGTTGGAAAAATGGATGGATGAATAATATTGATATTTATCAGGGCTCTCCGATTACGAGAGGGCTCTACGAGAGGATATTATTCAGCAGGTAAAAAAAACTTGAAGGAGCAGAGCACAGCGAGGGGAAGTTAGTCTTTGATGGCTGGAAACAGGAATGGCTTGCCCTATCGAGCCGCTTCCTTCCGCGCGGATGGAGTTGGGCAAAATCCCCAAACCCAAGAGCGGATCCCACTTCTCCTGACGCCACCCTTGTTGTGTCCCCGGTCCAGGCCTATCGGGAGAAGGATTCGGAGCGGGAGAGGAAGGCCCTCCTGTCGGATCTCACCGTCAGGAACGGCGACCGGGCGAGGCGCGTGGGTCCCGAGATCTCCAACAGGGTGTACCGCTACCTGCACGCAGACAACCCCCACCTCGTGCTGGACTGAGGAGGAGCGCGGCTGCTTCGAATCCACGCGGGCGCCGCGGTTCCTGAAACAAAGTCTCTCCGAGGCTCCCGGTAGGACCCCAGATCCAATGCTCCTCTTTTTGATACTAAAGAAACAGGAATTTGTTCATTTGTTTACTGTACTGCTTTCTATGCCAGTATAATTTCTACAGAGGTAACCTTTATTTAACATCTACTGTGGTAATGTTGGATATCAAGTTGAACATCACACACACGGGTTGTTTTTTTTTTTTTTAATCTTTTGTACAAGTTATTTTTACGATTCTTAAATAAGCCTTCGTAACTGGAACTAAGTAACTGTGTGTCCAGGTCTGCCATGCAATTTTTGAAAACCTTTCTCCAGTCAAACCCCCCCCCCCAAATACTAGTGTCAAGCGTTTAAGGAACTGAGGATTATGAAAAGTTAATAAAGATGAATGTAAAATGCAGCTGCTTTGTTGTTGGATGCAACTTTGAAGAAGCTGAGCAGTTCTTTTCCTGTCTGAGGTTTGAATCAAAGGGAGGTGCAACTGCAACAAAGCACACAAGTTTGCAAACAACTAGGATTTGTAATCAGCCTAGCCTTTCATTCACTCTGATTAAAGTGTACTAAATCACTCAGAGCAAGAGCTCTCCCCATGGTACCTGGCTTTAACATTCTTGGTTTAAATCTGTGAAACGTGCGGGTGATGTACTGAAGGCCCACCGATAATGACAGGACTGACACATACAAGATCAAGACACCACGGCGCTCAGTCTCAACCTCTTTATTTAAAAAAAGAAACAGAAAGGCATTTTAAACTTGTCTTTTGATATTAAACCTTTAATGAATATTCATGCTTCCAGCAACACACAACCCGAGCAAAAAGAGGAAGTGACTAAATACACAATGTGTCGTGTGTAGGAGCAGAAGAGCTTCACCGAAGAACAAAAAAAAAAACGTTACAATGAATTAAAAAAAGAGAGAGGAAAGAAAAATTAAGACATCCCCTTTTCCCCAAATACCCTTTCCCCACCTCAGCTTGAATACAGAATGAAAGAAGCATTGTAAGCTTTGTCCACACCTTAAAAAAAATATTTGAATGTAACCATACTGATGACTTCAAATCTGTGAGCCCGCGCTTGTGTGGTATTTGTGTAAACGCACGGTCACCAATGAAGACACTGGGGCAAATAAAAAAAAAATCAATTGCGCAGTTGCAAAAAATGTAAAAGTTACTAAAAGCGCTTGCTTCCCAATGGGCCGATAACGCTACAAATTAACGACAACAGTCATGTCGTTTAGTTCTCTCTCCTCTTCCTGCACGTGAGCCGATGAATCGAGAGGGAGAGGGACTACTGTCCCCTACTCGCTGTAAAAACAGGTTTGCTAGAAGTGGAGAAATGTAAGTGGTTCTGTACACCTGCTAAAATAAGACGAGATCCTGATCCTGGTGTAACTGGGGAACCATCAGCATTAAGAACAGTTCAGGTTCTTCTGAAATTCGCAGTTTGCCCTGATATGGGGGAATTCTTCATTTGCAATACCGGAAATGCAATGCTACTGTACATGAGAAGTAATTGCTTCAAGCCAAGATCAGGAGTTGATTAGAACCTGCTTCTGAACTGCCTGTATAGGAACTGGGGGAGAGGATCAGACCCTGGCTACTTTACTGTAGCCTTACTGTTTATGTGCACTAAGCTATTAGCATGGGGCATTGCTTTGTCTAAAACACACTGAAATGTATATTCAGGCCTGTGGAGCATTTCCCCCGATAACACAGATGAAGTTTTTGACACCTGGGTACATAATACCTGCTAATCTGAGATGCAAATAGGTTTCTGAGTATATGGAAGTGGGGGAAAAAAAGGAAACAGTACATAAAGAAATGAAGTGAATGTTAAATTAGTAATAGACATGTTATACCAATGTTGCTCAGTTACAGTAGGAATGCATAAGCACTTGGGCCCGATCACTGTAAGATAATTACTTTTTGTGTGGCAATCAGTCAGAGCAGGAGAGGGGTATTCAAGGCCCAGTAAAATGTAAACAGATGCCAGCATCACAGGACTGTATCTGAACCCATTTTAATGACTTCCGTGGCGACATTAGTCCAACTTTAAAGTGGACCCTAGATTTGTGCTGGATGTATATTAGAATGCACAGCTCCAAAGCATCAATGTAGAGAATATATCCTGGAGCCAGTATATTCCCATGAGACACTGACCCAGCTAAGAAAGTTAGCTGAGCCCTAGATGTATAGTTTTACCAGTAACGGTGTGGATAGGCAGCAAACACCCTTACCAGTGGACAGTGGAATGGTCCATCTCGCCATACTGAGGGAAGTGCTTACACGTGGGTCTATTCTTTGAATTCCAGTGAAACAATCCCAATCTCTCCTGCTACTGCAGAGAAAAGGATTCTGCGCCCTTCACAGCCTTTCCCAATTTTGGGAGATCAGGCGTGACAGCTGCTGGAAGCCAGGGGGCCTTCAATTCTGCTTCAGAGAGAATTTCAACATCTTTCTCTGCCCCCTACTTACAAATCGTTGAATTCCCAGAATGCGTGCAGTAACGTTATGGGACAAGAGACAAGTCTGCACGAACACGTGTACATGCAGAGACCCAGACCTGCATAAATGACAGCTCATTACCCTGCCCTAACGATCCGCTCCTCTCTGCATTGTCTAGAAATGTATGAAATGCAGAATATCAGTTTATAGAAAAAAAAAACATGTATATTACAGGCAAAGCATACATTCTGACTTTGTACATATATTTAAACTGGATTTGCCACTGAGGAAAGAAGGATACTTTGTTTCCTATATGATTTTTTTAATAGATGAACTGCAATAGTATCCAGACAAGAATCTGTAAGAACGCCACTGCATCAGTTTTTCTGCTATGTGTGGTACCTACACTGTAAATATTTCCCTCACGACAGAATATCCAGTTATACAGAAAGTTTATATCTTGGATTAAAACACGTGATGATTATAATTTAATAAATTGCTACATTACAAAATACCACCATTTTTTTTTTACAAAGGAAATTATAAGCAGTATAACTCATTCTCCTTCACCTGGCATTAAAAAAAGTCAAGATTTTTTGTTCAATCTACACTGCAGCACAAAATTATAACCTGGGATCCCACCTCCATTGAATTGGGAGTGTATCATGTCTTTGTGCACAATACAATTGTTACCAATTAAAGACATACAATTATTTGTGCACTAAACATGGAAGCAACATGGAAGATGTAGGGTTTTTAATTCTAAAATATATGAATTTCGTACTATAGAATAAAACAATTTCATCATATTAAAAGTGCTATTGTTTATTTTTAAGTTGTATTTACTTTAAAGCGAAAACTTCCTATTTTAATTTTGAAGCATAGATTGCGTTCATGATTGTGAAAACACGATAAAGCCATCAGCATAAATAAAACGGACCTCTCCTTAAAACCTTTAGGACTCACATTTGCAGGAACTAAGATCTGTTTAAAAACCACAGCTCACGTTCAGAAAGAGTAAGGATATTCTCTAGATCTCTCGCATCCTTCTGTTTACATGCAGTATATGAGGTGTGAGCTCTGCAAACTGCTACAGGGTGTTAATCTGGATAGAGAATTATTACATTTCCACTTTTGTGTAACTGTATACATAATGCAGATAGGTTCTTGGGAAAAAAGGCTATTTAGTTTCGTAGGAGCCAGGAGAAAAAAAAGACTTCAACTCAAAATTGCAAGCGCCTGCCGTTCTGCAGAATTACAATATTTTCCTATACCTAAACACCTTCTTGGATCCAGTCTTCCTAGAGCCTTACAACGCAACCCAGAGCTCTATTGTTGGGATGTTTTCTTTGCCGAGGTTAAAGCATTTGCACAGAAAATGTCACATACCCTAAAAAGCAGAATTTAAAATCCTTCCGGAAATGTCGTTACGCTGTTGGAGTCATTTAAAAACCCTTTTCTTATTTAAAAAAAAAAGCGGTTTGGGCTTTTTTGTCGAGATACAATGCAGTGATGCATAGGCTGAAGGAGACCTGATCACGTTGCTTATTCTGGAAAGAAAGAGCCACCCAACCCAGCATCAAGATGCTACAGATTAAAGTCCCATATCTGCCATTCGTACACAAGAAAAAATATACTGAAGAATCAGGCACTCCAACTAAAATTCTATATGCAACACTTACCATGCACCTGATAAACTCTGGGATATCCACGCTAAGCAGTTACCCACTGGTATCGTCTCTCAGCACATCCACAATTATTTGCTCTTATCATCCTCTTTAATAAAGATCTATTAAATGTTCTGGCTCAGAGCAGATTTCTGCTCTTACATGTGGTCTGGAGTTGAACGGGTTTAATCTGGGAACCTCTGCCATTCATTCTTTTTGTCTGGATACTGGAAAGATAAAACACAGGCAGGGCCAAAAAAATAAAATAAAACCGCTTTCGGTAGGTTGCCACAGACTGAAAGTGCTTCCTTTAATCCCATCCATCCACTTTCTAAACCTCAAAGGAATGCGGCAGCCTATCCCAGCATGCAACAGGCACAAGGGGGGGATACCAGTCCATCACAGGACGCACACCAGGGCCTGTTTTTTCCAGAAGCCAGTGAACCTACCAGTAAGTCTTTGGACTGTGGGAGGAAACCCACGTGAACACGGGGAGAATATACAAACTCCATACAGATAGCACCCCAGGAATCGAACCCAGTGCCAAGCAAAGCAAAGCAGCAAAAAGTTAGCCACAGGGCCACCATGCCATTCCTTTCGGAATAAGATTCAGAATAAAAATACTTCCTACAGCTGGATCCAATAGCATTGGAGGAGACTTTAAGCAAGAGTTACATGTTTCAACCCTTGACTGGCGAGCCAAATCACTCCGTCAATAAAGATGTCTTTGCTGGAACTGGTATGGCTGTAAGGCCGAATCTATTTGGGAATCTGTTAATTCCCGTGCCCACTCACATCACTCGAGTTTTAAAATGATTATATTAAAATCTAGATAAACAGATAACTAGACTAAACTACAGGTTTATTCCAGGAATGACACTCTTTCAGTTTTCTTTGGCCCACCACACTGGGTATCAGTCAGTGGCGTAGGACTGGCAGGAGAGAATAGCTCTGGTGGGGACAGGGCAGAATATATACTGGATACCAGTACAGGCCCATGCCACATTCTAGGGCGCACCCACATTCGGGGCGATGCAGAACCTCCGCATCCGCGTATCAGGATGGGAAACATGACGAATGTGATGCCGTGGGTGGTGGTGGCGGTGGGGGGAGGTTGGGAGAAGTCGGAGAGCCGTCTTGACGGCCTTGCACCGAGTGGGAGCAGATCTGAACTGAATGTCCTAAAGACACGAAGAAGGAAATCCCTCCCCCCAAAAAAAGGACAGCGACAGTCGGGCTAGAGCAGGCATCAGCGGGGAGGTCCACCTGTGCCGACAGCTGTGCCCGTCCTTTTCGTTTCAGTCCGAGTCCGTGTGGGTGGGGCTGGGGGGCGGTGGGGCTCTTCCAGGGCTCTCACGTCCAGCGGCAGCGCTTCCTCTGGCAGGCCTCCGGGTCCGAGGCGCAGCCCTCGGAGTCGCTCCCCGAGGAAGGGAGGGACGCCGAGGAGCAGGAGGGGGTGGCCGGGGAGTCGGGGGTCTCTGGCCCCTCGGGGGCGGCGGCGTTGTTCAGGCTGAGGACCCAGCCCAGCTTGTTGTGCAGGAGGTGGCGCAGGCCCGGGGGCAGGGGCAGCACGCTCAGAGTGTCCACGCAGTCGGGCAGCAGCTGGCGCAGCTTGGCGCAGCACAGGTACTGCAAGGAGGTGGGCGCAAAGCAGGAGCGGATGACCTTCATGCTGCTCTTGGCTGCCGTGGAGCACACCATGGGGTAGAACTTTTTGTTCTGCAGCTGGGTGGCAGCAACGCCTGCAAGGGGTGCAAGCAGACCAACAGGGATTAAGGGGCTGGACGGGTCCGGCGTTGCTACACTCCTGCTTTCGACAACAACCTGGGGGGGGAGCAATCACTGGGAAAGAACCGCCACGTCTGAGGCAAACTAAAGTGCAGCAGTCCGTCCACAACTAACTCCCCAGTCTCTGGAAAGGGTAGCCTTAGGCGATCGCAGCAGTGGGCAGGACATCCGAGTTGTGGGGAGGCACGGGTTGCGCAGTTAGTGAGTAAAAGCCTGGAGGACAAGTTAACTTGCAGCAGTTACACGTGATCCGTTTAAACAGCAACCCACGGGTGATGTGAAACCGCATCAAAACTACATCTACATTAAAAAAGAAACACTGGCTCGTGTGGCTGTGATGCATCCATCCACTTTCTAACTGCTTAGAGCTGGAGCCTATCCCAGCAAGCAGCAGCGGCAGGGACACCCCCCCGGATGGGATTCGGGTCCGTCACGTTTCACACACAGCCACAGACACGCTCTCGCACCAGGGCAACTTTCCCCACAAGCCAATTAACCTACCAGCGTGTGTTTGGGCGGTAGGAGGAAAGCAGAGCACCCAGCGGAAACCCATGCGACACAGGGAGAACATACCAATTCCATGCAGACAGCACCCCAGGAACTGAACCCAGAGCCCCAGTGCTGAGGGGCATCAGTGCTAACCACTGAGCCACTGTTCCGCCTGCTTTTTCTGATGCTTTAAAAATAAATTGTCGAGGAAATCGAGAACATGAGAAGATTTGAGTAAAATGAACCACATGTGAAGATTTTAAAAACTGAGAGACTCGGGATACATTCCAAAGAGCCTCGTACTCCATTCTTTATCATATGTCGTGTCAAAAGTGTTTCTCAATGCTACCTGTGCTACTAAAATCACATGGTTGTCAGGGCTTTAAAAAGCACTATGCTGCTCCACTCCGACAAAAGGCTAAACAATACAAATACTGCTTTTCATTTCCTAGAATTAACTTGGTGCTAAACACAAATGTTTGATACATTGCAGGTTGACGAAAGCACTATTGAATTTGCACTTTTGCCTTGTCTGACCTGACAGTGTCCTATGTCCTCGAGTAAAAGCAAAACATGGATCTGGAATACAGACATAGAATACATCCCTGTTCACCCGGATGCCCACGCAATAGTGCCTGTGCTTTGGTAATCGGTCAAAGAGGATTGGCGATGAAAAGCAGCACTTGCAGTCGCCACTGTGCATATGCTGGTTTTAAGAGATAATCTGCGCTATTGCATCCCAGAGAGTTTTATCAAACCCAGCGAATGAGCTGCAACACGCTTGAGACCGCAGATTTTGCAATTTGACATTATGCAACCAGCCCATTTGGCTTAAATATCCAAAAGGCCTTTTTTAATAGTTGGGTTCAGGTGTCCTCATAGTATTAGCTTTTTGTTAATACTATACTAAATGTGGGACTATTGTGTAACATTAGATGGTTAATAAAAGTTAAGGAACAATCACACACTCAATCCTGAAACCTGATTATTTACAAGTAAGTTATAAAATATCCCCTCAGGCTTTAATGGTCAGTAACAAAGTAATACTTTTATGCAGCACAAAAGCATTATAATTATAGTAAATTTCTTTTTTTTTTCTTCTGGGGTGTTGGGATTCCTGGGATGCTGGGAACCCATCGGAGGGTTCATGGAAAGAATTATATTTTGTAAATCAGGAGATGCCTGTATTATGTGCAGTTTGAGTGTGTGCCAGGACTTGGAACGTTATAACCTTCGAACTCAACCAGCAACACTGACAAACCCCATCATACTTGAAAACAGGCATGAATCTTCATCTGGAGACTTTTCATATAATAGAGAATCCTCAGTAACTCCACACTCTAAACTGGTGCTAATAGGAGACAGCCAATCACTCTGTGCAGGAATGTATCCTTGTACAGGCAAGCATGACAGACTTTGCCTTGTGGATTTAAAAGGAAAATATTCCCACAAACAGGAGAGAAAGTTTTTTTTCCCCGCTAAATTTAAGCTATCCCTTCAGTGCCGAATACCTGATCTGTTTTGCTCCATCAATGAGGAATCGCAGAGGTGAACATTTGCTGTAGTGCTGGAAACTCTCTGCCTACAGGCTCCCCTGTTGTCTCTCCTCGTCACTCTCTCTCTCTCTTTCTGCTCTCTCCTCTAAATACAGTGTCGATCTCGTAGGCCGGCCCCTGTTCCAGACTCAAAAGGTGTTAAAGCATCTGATCATCTCTCATCTCTGGTCTAACTTCAGGAAACTGGAGGTAGCTTGTCTCGCCAGATAACCCTGAGCTGTAAAAGTCCATCTTATTCTCTTCTGTTGAGGCAGCTCAGATTACACCAGTGCCAGAGTGCCCCTCCCCCTCACTCTAAAACAAGGGGCACCCAAACAGGGTCAATAGGTTTGTATAGTTCTTTTCATTCCCAACTGCTGCACATATAGGGGGGAATGCAGTTCATCCTCCACTGAAACAGCACTCACTTGGGGGACCAGCAGCAGCCATTATGCACTGAGTCAAGGGGGGGAACTTCTGAGAAGGTTGATTGGACAAGCCCAGAGTGGCATTTAGCCAGGACACCAGAGTAAAAACTCTCCTCTTACAAGTTCCCCAGTGGAACTCCGGCCAGTGCTCCTTACCTATGCATTTGCGGTTTTTGAAAAAGGTGAGGGTGCCGTGCCAGGTGTCCAGGTGCACCCCGATGATGGAGCCCTGCCCAAACCGCGATGCGAAGTTGATCTTGTCTCCTTTATGATGAAGCAGGCCTGCGGAAGCGATCAGATACACTCTAACCATTTGCCCCTTATGCATGAACACACCGCTGTGTTGTTCCCTCAGCTGTGGTAGTGCCTATAGAGGAAAGCTTGCCGTCATGCCTTAATCCCATTGCAGGATTTTCAGGAAATACTGGAGTGGTATTTTGGGCACAAATTCTTACGATCAGTGAAATTAGCATGCTAAAATACATAGAAGGAGAATTCTAGAGAATAGAAGGAACTAAAAACTCTTGCTAGAAGTTTGTTTTTACTTAAATGTGTCACGTCATCATTCTGATGTGGTCCAATCTGGTAGTAAATGAGATGCACCAAATTTACAGGCAAGGCTGTAATTTAACTCAGGCCTTGAATGTATTGTTGAAATAGCAACCTTCAACAAACCATCTTTTTTACAGTTGCCACTGCCTTTTAATATAAGCATGGGCTTTCTGTTTATGCATCATGTCCTTGCTAAATAATCCAGATAAATGTAGTAAAACAAATCTCTTTATCTTGTGGGAGATTAGCCAATTGGTGTTAATTTTTCCTGTTGCTATAGATATAAGTGCCATAGCAACAGGAGAGAGCATCACAAGCCCATGAGCCGTGTGCTGTACACTGACAGAATGTGAAATACTACATGGCTATTCCTACTACCAGAAATCAAGTTTCTAATATGTTAAACAGGGCAACATGCCCAGCGGAGCAACAAAAACAACTTCAAGTGATCACAGGAGAAAGTATGAACCACTGTAGTAATTATATTGGCACTCCCCAGAACTGCCAAAGGAAAAGCTCCATTGACTAGCTCAAGAGAATTAAGGAAACAACAAAATATTTGCCTTTGTGCATTGGTAAATATTGTGTACGCTGAATTTTCTGCAGAATAGCTTCGGTCTAGTGAAATCACCCAGACGCTATAGATTATACGTTTATTCCGCCCTTTAAATAATATTCACTCAGATACGTAGCCGATTCTGAAGAAAATCTGAGGCTGGTGGGATTGGTCAGGGAATCATTCTTGTGACCTTTAATTCACCTGTTAACAAGGACGGACTCTCAAAGAGCTGACGTTCTGGTTTTTGAACAAATGATCTGAATCCAACCTGGACATCCATGCCTGCTGTTCATCAGAACGACCACCTCAAAACTGCACCTTCCCCCACCTGAATCACACACGCAACCAGGCAGTAAAGGATGCGACGATGACGAGATTTGTGATCTTACCGGTGTAGGACAGTCCCCAGCTTTCCTCGTCCTTTCCCAGCAGGCTACAGAAGGTGTGTCTGTACTTGTCTAGGTTCACATCCGATGTGCCGATTCCGACCATCTGCAACAGCAGCATCAACAATGAGTTTTCAATCCACAGGGACCTGCTGGATTCCATACAAGCTATATGACCCCGCGAAACACAATACACACAGTGGGACCAGCAGGCAGCTCTCACCCCTGTGCTCTGTGTGGGTCCTAATGCCCCAGCATAGTGATGGGGACACTATACTGTAGAAAAAATGTGCTATCTTTACGGAGGAGCTGTGACTTTCTGTGGTCATTAAAATTCCCAGGGCGTTTCTCAAAGAGTAGGGGTGTTAACCCAGGTGTCCTGGCCAAATTTCCCCGTTGTTTACCAATCATGGCCTCCTAATAATCCCCATCTCCGAACTGGCTTCATTACTCCTGTTCTCTCCCCACTGAGGGAATGTGTGTTGACTATGAGCCGATGCACTGGCGCACCATGGCTGCCGCCGTATCATCCAGGTGGGGCTGCACACTGGTGGTGGTGGAGGGGGGGGTCCCCATTACCTGGAAAGCGCTTTGAGTGCTATTTGAGTTAAATACTCTGCAAGCTCAAAACGATCCATCCTACAATCGAGAAGTTTCGGCAGCCCCCCCCGAGACCACCCTTCCGAACTGTATCCTTTACCCCTCTGGCGGCCCTCCCGGTACCCACCATGTCTGTGCCGTACACCGGAGAAGTCATCTTGATCTCCCAGAAGTGCTGCCCCTCGGCCAGCTCCTTGGTGCCCCGGATGGCCGCCGTGCCGCAGCTGTACTCCATGTGGAAGTTCACCTTGCGGTTGTCGCAGCTGAGCAGGGTGGCGGTGGACTTGTTGCCGTCATCCCACACCCAGTCAAAGTCTGGGCAGAAACACAACAACACCCTCACCTCTAGCAAAGTCAGCAGTTTTACCTCCTGCTCCCCTTTTTGCCCTGGAGACACCCATGACTCTACCAAATCAGAGTTTGACTGGATTCACAAGCCTGCTCGCGTGACAATGTAACAGGGCAGCTTCACCTCAGGGGGAGGTTTTCTGCCTTCGTTTTGAATAGCGGAACAATGGCGCTGCGCCTACCTGGAAATGTCATCTATTTGGTGACGTAAATCGGAGGTTTTACAAGCTCCTGTGCATCATATTTCTTTTCTGGTGGTCCCAAATGCACCCGTTATTCTTTCCAATCCCAGAATCTGAAGATAGCCTCGAAGCCAGGAAAAACAATCCTCACTGTGCTGCCCGGTTCTCTTGAACATGGAGAGGATCCACTTGGGCCGCGGCTCGTACCACCCATGTGACGGAACATACCAACGGTGGGGGGGGGGGCAGAACTCACCCTGGTCGTCCTCTCCGCAGTGGCAGTCCTTGACGCGGTGGAAGCCCCTCAGCCGGGGGTTGTAGGCGGGCTCGGCCTGGGAGTCGCAGCCGCAGTAGGACTCGCCCGTCACCGGGACCGCGCTGGGCACGGCCGGGGCGATGCTGGGGTACTCCGGCTCGGAGTCGGAGTCGCTGTACTGAGACAACAGGGCCGTCGCCGGCGCGAGAGAGAGCGCGCGCGTCACTCTAGTGACCGAGAGGAAGAGGCTTTGTCTTGGGGGTTTGTTTTTTTTTTAAGCGAACCGGCTTTACAAGCGGGAAAAACTCCAAACCAGGACAGGGAAATTAGCAACCCCCCCGACCCCCCCGCCAGTTTACACCTACAGTAGACACTTTTATAAAAAAGGCTGACTTTGAGCAGTCCTCTAGTTCCTTAATCTGCAGTGAGGAATATTATTGAAGGCTCCCCGCAACCACTAAAACCCCAGATCTCAAGTTGGAGACGGTCGTCTTGATCTGAAACACCGATGAACAATGAATCACCCCAAGCCACACGATAAGATGCCAGTTTAATGGCTTTGGTCATTGTAGTACAGCACTGCTTCCATCATCAGGCAGATATTTACTTTTTAAAAGTGCTCTGTGCTTTCCTGTCTCCAGGACACCTCGGACCATCCTGATCTGAGTTAAGAGGGGTTTTGCTTTTGCGTGTCTGGGCATCAGCGTCAAGGTCATTTCCCCCATCAGTCTCCTGGTACGCGCCCATCCATTTTAGGAGCTGTCCACCACAACTGGTGCTGAAATGTCTCCTTCGGCACATAGGAGCCCCAACACTGTTTATCTCCCAGAACCCCTGTATAGTATAGAGCCTCCCTCTGGTGCTTCAGTAAAATGTTAACAAGCTTTTAAGTGGGAAACGTATTAATTTTACCACATCTGCTTTGGACATTCAGGAAATTGACACCACAGTTAGACAAAAATAGCCGATGTCCGAGCTATACTAGCCCCAGCCCAGACCCCTCTGACAGCGGCGACGTTCACTGACCTGCAGCCGGTCGTAGCCCCACTCCTCGCTCTCGGAGGCCAACACCAGCGCCCGGGCGTCGGCGTCGCGCCGGATGCCGCTCCAGACGTAGCGCCACGCCCGGCTGCTCCTGTTCCGCCTAGACATGGCAGGCAGGCGGCTGCACGGATCAGCGCAGAGAAAGGGATTAGGGCGGCTTGCTCAGTGACAAGGCAGCAATTGCCGATATCTAGTCCGGAGATCGAGGAACCTGGAACTAGAATTCCGTCGACAGCAGGGTTAAATCAAATCGTCCTTTCCAATCTTGTCCGGGACCAGAATTCGTTCCAGCCAGCACCCTGTTATATGGATCTTGCTGGCGGCGAGGGATGGACAACAAGTTATGGGAACAACGGTCCATAATCGCACTACCTTGCCCCCCTTCGAGTCACGGCGCTGGATGCAACGAGCGCTGGCTTTATTGTACAGAGCAAAGTTGTTCTTTTTTTATTGGCGCACAGATTGCGGATCCGAAGAGACCGACGTACAGATCGCGAATCCGAAGAGATCTGCGTGCTCAGCTGGCTTGGGTGCAGTCACAGTACCTGCCCGTGGGCGCAACCGCCAAGCGCTGCTACAGTAGGCACCTCTCTGCTTACGTAATAATCAGAGGATGGATATTAATACTGGCACATAAACCACCGCTTAGAGAAAGACCTGCTTGGGTCAGCACTGTGCTTGCTCCATATGTTTCTGATAGTACCTCTTGTTCTCTGTAGGGGCCTAATATAGTTCAGTAATTCTGTAATTCACAACGTCCTGGACAGCGACTAAAGACATTTTTCTAAGATATTCCTTTGACAGCATTTACAGATAAGGAGTTTCTAATAAGAATTACCTTTACAGAGAACGCTGTATTCTTACAAAACAGAGTCTAAAAGCAGTTTCACAACCCTGATCCAATCTGCCTTATCAGTCAGACCCCATTATGGCAAACCGAGGCAGGGAAATTGAGAGCAACTCCCTTCTAGAAGTGTTTAGGGTTTGCCTTCAGAAAATGGAAGGTACGTGTCTATCATTCTTGCCCCAACAGAAATCTGTTTTCATTTTTAAGAACTGTGAATGAACTTCTTATAGATAGCCTCGTGATTTTTAATGGCCTAGCTCAACCAGGCAAGGCCAAAAACCCACTTTGTACAGTGCTGGAAAGTCAACAGAAACAGTCCCTAGAAACTATTGAATCCTGTGGAGATACGTTCTCGACAGAAACATTGTCAGATGATGGCTTCGTCACCAAAAAATATATGCTATGCTCTATAGTCTACGCAGCATATATTAGGTGCAGTAAAAGCAAAACGTGACTTTCAAATTGCACCATGCTTTCTTAGTTGTTACCAGCAGTCACAGCAGTACCAGCAGTTGATGCAGAATGTCAATGTAGAGAACAAGCAGACTCGTCCAGCTGATCATAGCAGGGTTAAAACTGTTTATCATGCATTTCTCCCTGTACTGCACAAGCCTGGGGCAAACCTTGTGATTATAGCACACTTTCAAATCTAGATTCCACAGCTCCGAAAATAGCTCTCCTGACCCAGACAACTACTGTACTGGGAGGCAGGCCTGGGATCTAATTCTTATTTACTAAACACAGATTTCCGATGTAAAATGAAAACTCCCCGAAGGTTTGTGCTGTTGCAGAAGTTCAGAACTTCTAGAACTTCTTCTGTAGGCAATGCTATTTAAATAGTGAGGCAAGTTGAACTTTAAACATGAATGAGGCTTTCGTCCACAACAGTGAGAGCCATCAATATTTTTTTTCCAACTCGTGGTTGAAAAAAACATACAGACGTTGTTTCATTATACAAGCCGGCATTTTTTAAAAAAAAAAAACATTTAGACTCATTTGTGTCCTGGTTTTACACTTTTTGACGAGCAAACGGAGAAGATGCAAACTTCCAATTCACTTCGACTTTAAAAACACAAATGAAAAGAACAATCCTTACCCTCCCAGGTCACACTCAAAAGAAGCTTTGCCCCCAAAAACATCTACTCCAGCGCCACCTCGTTTTAAAACTGCACAGTTACTTCACCAGCTATATTGCACCCACACCTCGGTACCACATGCAGCTTAACCTTCAGTCACATACAGACAAGCATGTTTCCCTTCACAGCTATGCAAGACGGAGACAGACTAATCCGAGCAGGCAGAGGCATTGAGCAACGTGCAGTCACTGCTGTCAGTGAATACAAGAAGGGACTTAACCCACATTCAGCTTGGCACTACTTTCACAGCCCGACCGAGCGCTGTTTATTATGGTAGCAATGTCAATATTCGTTCTTTGCCCCGAGACATTTTGTTTTCGCAGTTTAGGACTATACATCGCTCTCCGGCGGATTAAAAGGCAACTTTTAAGTAAAACCGTCCTGAAGTAAACTGTTTCATCTGTAGGTGTACCGTTTCTCCGCAGTCTGGTTGACAACCAGTCAACAGCTGTTCGCAGGTCTCATATGGGAAGACGATAATATTCAGGAAGACAATACTAACAAAAGCCCGAAGTATGAAGAAATGAAAAATATATGTATTGAGGGAGACGTTGAAGTGTTTACTTGTTTCTCTTATTTTGACCATTTTAGCGAGAGAGTCCTTTTAGGTCATAGGTTTACCGATGATTACTATCAGTCGCTGATACTATGATTACTGCTGCACCTGTCATTTTTAATAACATTCTACGCAATGCTGACAATCAGTAGTGCCTTTTCAAAAACTGCATAAAACTGCTTTCAAGGGTTGCGAAAATATGCGGAAATAGTTGTTTGCATGTTTGATGGTATCAAAAACGCAGTTATTATTCGGACAGTAGAAAACACCCCTGAGCGGAGTTGAACCGGGACACAGCCTTGGCACAGATGCGCATAAAACACGTTTTTTTTAATGTTCAGCCCCGTCTGACCCTATTCTTACACACCCAACCCACAACTACAGATTGAACAGCTTTTAACGGGAACCGCAAAGAATCGGCATCCTCCCCAGGCTTAAACATGTACTAGTATTAAAAAAAAAAAAAAGATGCACGCACATTTCAGACTACTCCTGACACAAACATCATTCTCAATACAAAACGCGGGGTGCTTTATTGCACAGAAAGTACTGCTGCTGCGGCTACAACACACCTCAGACCCGCACACCGACCGTCTCCACACTTCATCAACACGCAGGTCGATGAAGCTTTACGTTCAGATGCAAGATCTGCACGCTTCTGGTCTCTTGTTTTGGCCATAAAAGCGGCAGGCCGGCGTCCCCGTTGCCAGCCCCAGCGGCAGGCCCGGCTACAGTAAGTTTCCAGCCAGCGTCCGCCTCCCTCGTCCCCCAGCTGGGTCCATACCGTTTGCTCGCCAGCGCAACCAGCTTCACTGAGGCAGGGGCACCACAGCAGAAAAGACGGCGCGTTTTAGCCGAAAAGGATGTCATGCAACTGTACGGTTGCATCGGGAAATACTGGGACGCGGATCCCTCCTGCCGATTTTGGTATTAAAAAAAAAACAACAACTCCAGCAGGTTTCAAATGGCACATACCTCCTTTCACCTGAACCACAGCTTTGCTTCTTGTCCGTCTCCGCGTCACCTTCCCCTGGATTCTAGTTCACCTTGATCCGTGACACTGTTGATTTCTTCCCCTTCCACAGTGAGGCTCTTTTTTCCTAAATAAATAATATATTTCTCCGGTCCCACCACACAGCTCCCTGCGAGATGCCAGTCACTACGCGCTGACCTACTTTCAAGGCCGACGTAAACAATGCATTTCCAAGGCCCGCCCTCCCTCGTCGCGCCTATTGGGCAGTGGCACCTTGGGGGGTGGGGCCAGTGGCGGGGCGGCCAATCGCGACGCTCCGCCCCGCCGTCAATCAAATCACATGCGTGCGCTTGAGACTGGCTGGGGCTTTCTATCAATGGCGAAAGGCGCAGGCAGGGAAAACCAATCCGGGTGCAACTGCAAATCTGTTCGCCATGTTGGCTCCGGCGTGTTCACAGGCTCTTAGAGCCCCAATGTCTTACAAGAGAGCGGGGCGATTATGTGGGGTGTCTTCGTTGTAGGTCAAGTGCGATGCGGCATTTTCATTAACAGGACTGAGATTCTGAGGAATGCTGAAACAGTCCTGGAAAGTCCCTACACAATCCAGATCAGTTTCCAGCCGCGGTAACAATTTGTGCCACACTGCATTTATTAAATACCTGTTGCCCTGCGCTGTGGTCATAAAATTAGCCTTGCTGTATTTATATGGAATTCTTATATTCCATAATATGTGGAAATACAAAAACGTAACATACAGGAGTTCGAATATACCGTAATATCACTCAGATAGGTGTAATAGCGGGCTTTGCACCTCCAGACATGTGTATGTAATGTTTTATCTTTAATGTAATTTTACCATAATAATGGGATCGGTACCGGTACCAGCTTATATAACTTAAAATACGTTGCCCCAAAATTGAGGTGTTATTATTAAATCGTTATCTCATTTTGACAGTGGTTTCAAAATATACTATTGTAGCAATTTAACAAGGCTTGTTTACAATTTATATAAGAATATGCATGGCATAACTATAAAATGGTCCGGCTTTTCATTGGATACAGAGCTTATTTGTTAATTACGTCATGCCTGCCTCTTCCAAAGAGATCGGGTTTTAATTGGCGTAGAGTGAAAGGGGGCGGGAATAAGAAACTGTGCCTTTTAGGATTGGACAATAGCGCTGTAATTCCGATAACGTCACACCTTTTCGCTTTCGTTGGACATCAGGAAGTCAGGCGAGTTAAGTGTCAGCATGGATTCAGAAGAGGGTATGTATCTCAGACTTGAGAACAGTGTAAAACATTATCCGCATTGTTGCTAAACTGGCTCGTATGCTCAGCTTTTGTAATATCCTTAGCTAGTGCTTGTTACGAACCGCTAATATGCACAATAAAAATCGGTACACCGATTTTACACCGAAACCACAGTACACTGTTGGGCTTGATGAATGGATGATAATTGTTATATTTTATTTGGTCAGACCTAGTTGTGGAAGTCAGTTTCTCGCCCAGTAAAAAAAAACCGTGCGAAACAAGAAATTTCATCAGCCCTGCTGCGTTGGAAACAATAACGATAATAATAATAGTTCCATCTAATCTAATCTCCATCAAAGACGCTTTTGGGTTTAGAAACTACCTCCCTCACCCTGGGAAGCTTAAATTTGTGGTCACAGTTTTAGACAGGGTAGGTATGATTGATCACTTTTGAGAACCCAGATTTTCAAGTTTCTCTGTTGCTAAATAGCTTTAGAGCGCAAGTCTCGGATACATCCTCCTGTTGTATCGTGGGTTGGGTGGACGGCAGTACTCGCTTTCCACCTCGGTGGAGCAAGCACCGATGTACTTTTTTTAACATTCTTCCTACTTCCTGTCTTCTGACAATCCCATCCGGCGATCAACCCGGCGTGGGTTGATTTATAGAGAAGCGTTTTCATTCCGGGTTTACAAGTGGCTGCGAGGAGACCTTTCACTCGGATGTTGATTTCTGATCCCATGACGCTTTCAGGAACTTGTCGCGAACCTGAACAGAATGAACTGTACATCGAGGGCGATACATTTATTAAATATGGGGTTAATTTGTGTGCTTGCGGGAACAGTGGCCATTGTGAAGGTTGTGGGTCCCAGTCCCGATAACGGGATTGCTATACAGGACGTCACCTGGAATGATGTAGTAAAATATCCAGCTGAATGCATGGGTGCTTTTTTAAGTTGCTTTGAATAAAATTGTCAGCCAAATAAATTAGAATAGTCCTCTTTGAACTACATTGCATCTTTTTTAAGGTGTCATGTCAAACAAGAATGTTCTAAACCCTCAGGCTTTATAATGTTTGCTTCTTTAAACAACAGCTACACCTGCGCTATCCATTGTATCTATTTCTCCACGACATCTAAACTGAACTTTAAGCCTTTTGCTCCAGGTGGTTCTCTTGATATTTTGCGCTTATAGGCAGCTGCTGCCCCTCTTATCTCTCCTTTTTGTCCATCTTCTTCAAACAGTCATCTGTAGCAGAAAACATTCCCCTTACCGAGAGAAAAAGATAAGGGTCACAGAGGGGGACACAAAGCAGCATAGAGTTCAGTGGACAAAGAAAATAGCCAACTAATACATATCTTAAAGCCAGTAATATTGTGTAACAAAGAGAAAACGCTATTCTTCCAGAATTCCAATCCTTCAGTTAATCGGCTTCTGGGAGAATTGGTCCTGGTGTGAGTGTGTGTCTGTGTGTGCCCTGCGATACACTCCAGGAAGTGTCAAGCCCATTGCTTGCTGGGATAGCCTCTGGCTCCCCCCAAAACCCTGTATTGGATGAAGGGGTTAGAAAATGGATGGATGGATATAATTCTTTGTTTGTGCTGCCATCTGCTGCTGAATTTTGGCCATGGTTTCTCTCTTGCTTCTCTCATCTTGTCCGGAATGTACTCTCCTTGATTCTCCACAGAGAAAGGGAACCTGGCGCAGGTTCGGCACGTGGTCCTGGTGCTCTCGGGCAAAGGAGGAGTGGGCAAGAGCACTCTGACCACAGAACTGGCCCTGGCACTCCGGCAGGCTGGCAAGAAGGTGAGGAATGAATGCCTGCAAAAGCATTCTGAGACCCATGAGTGTGTAGCCATGGGGTGGGAGATGCGTAAAACACACTGGTGTTCTCTTGTGGTTCCTTGCGTTTGGAAGCTGCAGATTATTAGGGTTTGCCCAGATATCGGGGGTGTGAAGTGTACTGGGATGTGGTGATTTAATAGCAGTGGACCAAGCTCGCCCTTCACGTCTTAAACAGCAATTTCCCTGGTGCCAGCGGGCTTGAGGTCACAATCGGGAGGAGGGCACCTGTTTTGAAATTGGTCCCGAAACTGAAACCGACTTAACATCCAGATGGGATGAAGAGGAATAGTGTATTGCCACCTGTGTGCACGGTGCTTTCCTAATGTACAGAACTGCTAGAACACCTGCTGTGGGTGCACTCGTTGTCTACTGTCTTTATTCCTCTTGCTTCCTCTTGTAAGTAAAGCAAACCTCCCCTGATACAGTTCTTTAAAGAGGCCAACTAGTGTTGTAAATGTACTGTTAATATGCCAGTGATACCGCGGCTTTGTTGTGATATTTTGACGAGATGTTAAATGTATTAAATGGTCAAATTTGAATATGCAGAAGGACGGTGTGGCAGCACAAAGCACATTGAGGTGGAGATCTCAGGGAGGGGTTTATGTTCAGTTTATTGGTTTTTAGGGGGAGAAACAGAATATTACACAGTACTGTATATAATAATGAACAAATGTTGAACAATCACCTTGGCATGACAGACTTGGTGCCTAAACAAACTGTGTAAATCCAACAACAGTATAAAATCAGGAATCGAGGCGTAGAGAAAAGGAAACCAGAGATGTGGAAGAGAAATGCTGAAGGGAAAAGAGAAAAAGGAAAAAAAGGTAGTGAAAGTACAGAAGAAGTGAGCCACAGTCTTCAAGGTCTTTCATATGTCTGGGTCGAGCTGCAAGCTCTGGGAGAAGTTTAAAGGGGGCTGCCAGGCAGAATTAAGTTTTGCAGTTCAGCCACAGAGGGAAAACCTCATTTTTTCAAGGTGGAGAAAGTACATCACATCCCTTAGCCAGCGAGCGAGGGTGGGCCCAACCGGGTGTTCCCAGTGGAGTAAAATCAAACGGAGAAGGCCAGCGAGGGGGGTTTAAAATGACACTCTTGGAACCGACGAAGCAGCCGATCTGCGGCGCTGTGTCGCTGACGTAAGCCTGGTGGCTGAACGCTCGTCCGCTGGGTGGTGTCCGAGTGGCGCCCGTGATGTGATGGCCCTCTGCGCCGCTCTCCTCAGGTGGGGATCCTCGATGTCGACCTCTGTGGCCCCAGTATCCCCCGCATGCTGAGTGTGGGCCGGCAGGAGGTGCACCAGTGCGACGCGGGATGGGTGCCGGTCTACACCGACGCGCACAAGAGCCTGGCCCTCATGTCCATCGGGTTCCTTCTGGAAAACCCGGATGACGCCGTGATTTGGAGGGGCCCCAAGAAAACAGGTAAACTCAGGAGCCAGGAGGAAACTTGAGCACAAAGCAGGTCTGTGGTTATCTGGGCGGCTCCTTTTCCTCAATGCAGTTCTTCTGAAGAGTGCCGAAAACATTTATAAAGTTCATGAGCAGTTCCACGAGTATGCGTGCAGAAAGAAAGGGCATGGAATCCGGAGCGCTGTGATTACAGCCCTGGGGCTGTGCAGGAAGCTCGGGGTGAGGGATTGTCCATAAGGTGCTGGCCTTCACTCAAAATGAAATCGAAATCGACCCGACTGCAGTCCAGTGGCGTGAGCCAAATATTTGAAAGTAGGAGGATGTTTTCTGGTAATTTTTGGTTGCTTTAAAAAAATTCCAGAGTTAATCTTGCTATGTAGTCATGCCTTTTCTCAGACTGGTGGCATATGTACTTATGCACAGATCGGACTCCTAACCCGCACTCAAAACTTGTCTGGAGTGACAACTGAATTGCTTTGACTGCACCACTACTAAGTAGCGTGTATATGTAAGTGAGCTGCTGAACAACAGATTTCTCTTTTAAAAAGTAAAATAAACTACAGGTATGTCAGCCCCGGTAATCTATATTTCGCGCCGATCTTCTTACTCATTAAAATAGCGCAGATAAATTATTCACTTCAATGCTGAGTTATCTTTTGGTATACCACAAAGTAAACTGTCTCGGAGATGTCTGAGAAAGCACTTCCTAAATCAGACTCAAGGGTGTAAGTTGTTTATGTGTCGTTGACCATGTTGGCTACCGATATGTGCGTTATTAAATGGAAAAAAAAAATAGAAGTAGCTGAGGCTTGTTTTACATTGCAATCCCCACCAGCGATCTTGCTGACTTCTACCCCATCTCTCTCTGTCGTTTTCTGTCCCGCCCTGTCTGCGGCTCACCAGCTCTGATAGGCCAGTTTGTGTCGGACGTGGCCTGGGGCGAACTGGACTACCTGCTGGTGGACACGCCTCCGGGCACGTCGGACGAGCACCTGGCCGTGGTGGAGAGCCTGCGGAAGCACAGGGTCGACGGCGCCATCCTGGTCACCACCCCCCAGGTCAGGGGCCAAAACACAGAGCCTCGTCGTGCCAAGCCACAGCTCGTCCATTCGCAACCCCGGAGTTGCTGGGCCTTTCTTCGAGAGTGTTGGCGTCGGCTTCTAAATCACACATCTAGATGAAGTCCTTACTCTGCTGTTGGCTCAGGCAGTTTTCTGTAACGTGGAGTGGAACGACAGTACACGTCTTCACCCACTAGTTCATCTCAGGATGATCCCCAGCAATGCTGCTGCCTGTTTTTACAGAGGGACTGGACTGGCGCGACTGGGCTCAAGTACCACCTGTAAGGGTACAACAGCAGTGATTCTGCAAGAGGAACTAAAACACACACCCTTCCTGCTGAGAGTCCAGAACCTGTTACTCTGAGCTGCCCCCTTATCAATAGATATCTGCCTCTAGAATTAAATCTAAAGATGTCTCTATTCCTCCAGGGCTTTTGTGTTCTTAATGGGATGCATATGAAAGTATACACCTTGTGCGTACCTCTGAGTTCACTGTTACATGAGTTATACAGCAGACTGATTCCCTTCCAGGATACTGTAAGGTTATTGAACAGAACTATCACAGCAGAGTGTGTTAATGCCATGTATTATCCCCTGATCTGTTAATAGTACACAGTGCCCGCATTTTCCGCTTTCCTGAATTCTAGCCTTTAAGGAACCTTTTCAAGGCTGTGTTTCATGCTGGGTGACTAACAACAGTATGAGCCATAACAAAGAATTATTGAGGACTGAAAGTAGATGAGAACTGTGCCTCAAAACTCATTGAATTGTCAGAAATTCGCCAAAAAAACAGGCTTAATTTTCAATTTTTTTAGCCGATCTGTCTTAAATTCTGGCAAAGGTCCTGATTGCATAAGGCTGTATCTGCATAAATAATAAAAGATAAAATCGCGCTGCCTCTTAAAGCAATACGTTGTCTCTCTATACGTAAAATAAAGCTAAAAAAAATTAGATTTGACTCAAACATCCTCATTTTGGAAACATGGTCAAAAAAGCTTTAACATATGAAATATAAGATTCTTGCTTAAATAGTAATTGTATATTATGATTCTTAAATAAAAATGAATAGCCTGGTACTAAGATAATATCACACTGCCCGAAAAACTGTTAGTTTGTGTAATGTTACTAAACCAGGAACAAGATAGTGAACACTCCAGAATGGAGATCAGGCATTAGTTGATTAAATAAACTAATTTTGCCAAACATAATAGCAGATCTGCAGAGAGAGCGTGCTGGAGATGGATCCCAGATGTGTCTCTACCTCTTCTTGCAGGCCGTTTCCACAGGAGACGTGAGGCGGGAGATCGCATTTTGCAAGAAGACGGGCCTGCGTGTCCTGGGAATCGTGGAGAATATGAGTGGGTTTGTCTGTCCGCATTGCTCGGTAAGTCCACTGTGTCCGCCTGCTGGAAACCCTGTGAAATGGAACTTCCACTGGTTTCTCCGCAAGTCCTTCTGGAATCAGCGTTGGCCCTGGTGTCTGTGTGCTTCTGCTCACAGCAGAAAACTTTGACTGGCTGTGGAAAGTCTCCTTGAATACCATGAGATTCTAGGATAGAAATGATTAACCAGTGATACAGGACAGCCTTTAATTATCTGTTGCTGGGTCTCTGATCTGTAGTGTGTGTTTTCTATAAAAGGTTTTAATTACTCTCAGAGTTACCAGCTTTTCATTCAGTTCATAAAGTTTATTGACTGCATTTAAAAATAGGTCATAATTTAATATCAAGAAAATATCAATAACCCTTCCGGATTCCTGCTCTTGCAACATGCTAATCGATGAAATGTGATATTCTCTACTAGTGAACAAGTGCATTTATTCCATGCTGAAAAGAAGGGACGTGTTTGACACCTGAAGAAGGCTCCACAGCCGAAATGTTGCGTCTCTTTTCTTTCTAACGTGGGATAAACCTTTTCTTGTTCCGTTGCAGCCTATGCTTGCTGACGTACAGTAGCTACCTACTTGAAATTCTCTGCTAGTGTTTGCAGTCTAGCCTTATAGCAGATGTTTACAGACTTGCCCTGTTTTGTTTCAGGAATGCACAAATATATTTTCCAAAGGGGGTGGAGAGGAACTGGCCAAGCTGACAGATTCACCATTTTTAGGTGAGTTGTCTTGGTGTTTAAGATATAAAGGATATCTGTGCTGTTTATAACAGTTAAGCTTTTATGGGGTTTTTTTCTGGTATTATTATAAATGATAGGAGGCTGGGCTGATTTACAATTCGTTCCTGTGCTTCTGCTATTACTCTTTGTACTGTATATAGCTGATCAATCCAAATGATCTAAAAGTCTGCCAGCTGAAAGCCTGCCAACAAGCTTTCACATACTGTACATGCTGACATTGTCACGTGATGGTAATCAGTGTAATTAAACTGCAAACCACATTAGTGTTGGCCTAACGAGGCTTGCTTTTGCTGATTTTCATCATTTCTGGCTCCATGAAGAAAGATGAACCAAGAAGTGAACTATAAATCCTGGATCTCTGCATTCTCGCCGCAGGCTGTGTCCCTCTGGATCCCCAGCTCAGCTCCAGTTTAGAAGAAGGAAGAGATTTCCTGCAGGCCTTCCCGGACAGCGCCACCTTCGGCGCCATCAATCAGATCGCTCACGCAGTGATGACCAGCATCGCCGAGCGCGGGTGACCCCTGACCCGCCCTGCCCGCCGCATGCCCACCTTCTACCTGCTGCCTTTCCCTTCAGAGAAACAAACTGGACGTTTTTCTATACGGACCATGCTGTGTTCTGTCATTAAAACCCCTTGGTTCTCTTGCTTATGCACAAGTCTCACTCGCCTTTGGGTTGGAGTTATCCTTCAGTCTCCTCTTCTCAGCTGTCTCACTGAGCAGAGAGCAAACACACACTATTGCATGAGGACTCCTCTTAAATAGCAGCACTAGTACTGGCTTCAAACCAGGTTCTTGAGCTGTGTGATAAATGAAATATCCTGTCAACTCAGCAGACAAATGGTCAAGGATTGTACTTGTACAGCTTTCTAATTTAAAGCCCTTATTTCTGTAATAAATCGGAACAAAACAAAAGCATTCTTTCTTACTCTGTGTGAAAGCAGTGATTCAATTAAATTGTGATTGATAGGGTGGGCAAATTAGAAATTGAAAATTTGAAAGTGAAGGAGACTTTAAAAGTAACTTAAAGCTCTTCAGTTACAGAAAATGGTACTGTATGTTACCTAGTACATGTGTACATACAGAAAAATGCCAAAACATAGGAAGCAGCAAAGCCAGCAAAAAAAAAAGGCGAGTAATGAAATTAACTGTTTTTATCCTTAATTGAGTAAAATTGTTCTTCTTGAAGACTTGGGAAGAAAAAGTCTTGAACACTTCAGTAATGCTGAAATTAACTGATCTACAAACATGCAAATGAGCAGGACAGA